AGGATGGGTTGAATAAGAGGGCGAGAGAAGGAGGACGAGGAGGAGGAGGAATAGAAGACGAACAAGAACAAGTCGAGAGGAGGAGATTATGAATAAAAGATGAATAGAAGAAATTAGGTGAAGGGAAGGTATTGCACACAGGGTTGGGCCCGAAAGGAGGAAGAAGGGAGACCTGACAGCCATTCCCACATAGGAGTAAATGTGTAGCTGAGGTTAACCTTGGGAAGCCCTGATGGCGGCCGGAGTGGCGTAACCCGCTCGCTTTAATTTCGGTTGCCGATTCCTCCGTCGCTCGCCGCGCCACAATACACAGTCACCCCCCGGGCGTCTCTGTACGGTGCTGCTATGGTGTTGTTGGTGCATAGTGCGGTTTTGTCAGGTTTTTGTTATTATTTTGTTCTTCTTCCTCTTCCTCTTCTTCTTCTTCTTCTTCTTCTTCTTCTTCTTCTTCTTCTTCTTCTTCTTCTTCTTCTTCTTCTTCTTCTTCTTCTTCTTCTTCTTCTTCTTCTTCTTCTTCTTCTTCTTCTTCTTCTTCTTCTTCTTCGGGCCATATCCTTCCCCCAATTGAACTAGTGTGTTATGTGTCGCTCTCGATCACCATGGCTGCGGGTACATACAATGCGGGCACATTTGTGTTTGATAATGGGAGGCGTGTGTGTGTGTGTGTGTGTGTGTGTGTGTGTGTGTGTGGGTGTGTGTGTGTGTGTGTGTGTGTGTGTGTGTGTGTGTGTGTGTGTGAGAGAGAGAGAGAGAGAGAGAGAGAGAGAGAGAGAGAGAGATGAGAGAGAGAGAGAGAGAGAGAGAGAGAGAGAGAGAGAGGGAATCGGGACTGAGAGCTGGGTAATGGTGGGTTGTAGTTTACGACATCCTTTGTCTGTGTACGCTAGGAACTTGTCCTTGTGCTTGACTTGTTGCGGACATTACTTCTTCCCCCCCCCCCCCCTCCTCTCCTCTCTCTCTCTCTCTCTCTCTCTCTCTCTCTCTCTCTCTCTCTCTCTCTCTCTCTCTCTCTCTCATCTCTCTCCTCTCTACTCCCCTCCCTCCCTCTCTCTCCCTCCTCCCTCCTTCCCTCATTCCCTCTCTCTCCCTCCTCCCTCCTTCCCTCCTCCCTCTCCCTCTCTCCCTCCCTCCTTCCCTCTCCCTCTCTCCCTCCCTCCTTCCTCTCCCTCTCCCTTCCCTCCTCATTCCTCTCCCTCTCTCCTTTCCCTCTCCCTCTCTCCCTCCCTCCTTCCCTCTCCCTCTCCTTGCCTCCCTCCCTGTCCTCCCTTTCCCTCCTCCTCTCTCTCTCCCTCCTCTTGCCTACCTTCCTCTCCCTCTCCTTGCCTCCCCCTCACTCGTCTCTGTAACCCTCTTTTTTTCCCTTTCCAACGTTTCACTCAAGAAATAAAACTCAATAAAAAGCAATGCGTAAAGTAGCTTAACTTTCGGATATCCTGTTGTGAAATGCGTCGCCGCCAGAGGTGGCCCAGACCCCCGGTTACAGTAAATACTTGACTCAGTCTTCGTGTCCATGGGAGTGCGTCTGGCTTTGTGCGTGCGAGCTCGGGGTCTCATCTCTGCGTCTCTCATTAACGTCTGAGGAAGGAAGGTGCGTTAAGAGCGAGCTTCGAGAGGGGCGGGGACACAAGGTCACGGCTCTGCAGGTCAAAGGTTAGAGTGTCAGACGTTCCGACGTGTGGCCTCAGAGACACTCGACACGATTTCACCGCGCACTCTCGGTTTCGGATTTTGCTTGTTCTTCTTTGGCGGAGAACAAAAGAAGTGAGCGAAGGAGCAATCAGAGACTAGGCGTTTTTAGTTCTCGCGAGGCTGTGAGGTTTATGGTTTGTTTACATGATGTGTCGACGCCTCTGTTGGACAAGGAGGCGTTGTGGGGATGAGCAGAAGAGGTATTCATCGCGGGGATAATGGACTCGTTGTGATTGTGGAGTGTCTGGCGTAACGGGCACCGACAGAAGGTTGTCGGATGCCATCATAGCTATGCGATCGTGCCCCCTTAAGTGCCAGCGTGAATGGGCTCTAATTTGCTTCTTTTCTTTGCAGGAAAGTGTGGCGGCGTGACATGGAGGAAGCGAGGAGCGGGTCGAGTGAGTCATGATCGTCCGCGGACTCGAACTCCACGCCGAGGACACTATCGCACGCCCTCGCGCCCAACGCGCCGCATTCTGACGCGGCTGGAGAAGCAGAGCAGTAGCGAGGACAGTTGCAGCAGTAGCAGCAGTAGTAGCGCTTGCACCACCCCCGACCGGCGGCCCACGCGCCCCTCTCCAAGACAGAACAAAGTACAAACTTCAAGCACCACTAAATCTCGCGAGGCCGAGCTCACCGGCCAGAGCGCAAGCAGCATCAGCGGCGAGCATAGCAGTAGAAGTAACTCCAGTACAAGTAGCAGTAGTAGTAGTTGTAGCGTAACCAGTAGCAGCAGCAGCAGTAGCAGCAGCAGTAGCAGCAGCACCCCGGAGCCAGAGCTACCGACAAGGGCCCCCTCGCGACGCCTGGCCGCGGCCGTTGCGTTGCGACACACGCGACTCATCGCTGCCACCTTAGACCGGCCCACGCCCAGCCCACCCAGCCCGCCCAGCCCGCCCGCCAAAGCTGCTGTCGAGCGGTCGACGCCCAGCCCGCCCGCCAAGGCTGCCGTCGAGCGAGCCACCCCGAGCCCGCCCTCGAAGGCGAGCGCCGCCGCCAGCCCCCCCAAGGGCGCCTCGGACCGGCCCGGTAAGAGAGGCTCGCCCAACAACGGAGCGACCCGCCGGCCGCCTCAGCGCTGCCGGAGCGTCTCCCCGGGCACCCGCGCCGCCCACTTCGCGGCCGCCACGCAATGCTCAAACAAGAACAACACTAATAACGAGAACAATAGAAACACCGGCAATTGCGAGAACAATAGCAGCAAGAGCCAGAAACGGAAGAGCAACGCCAGCCCGAGCCGAGGCCACAATTCCGCCCCCAGACACGCCGCCGAGAGGGAGTCGCGGCCCGTCTCGCCCGCCCACCATTCCCATTCCAAGACCAGCCGGAAGGATTCCCATTCCACGGATGGCAGTTCCTCCGAGGAACCTGTGGTGATCTACGAGAAGACCACCTACCGCCCCCCGCCGCCCGACGCCCACAGGACCCCCTTGGGCAGCGCCAGCAAGGAAGCGGCTAGGACCCCGCAGGGTCCCCCGCTGAAGGAAGCTCCGAGAAGAACGGAGGCAGAGCCGCGTCCCAAGGAGGACGTCGCCGCGTGCAGACCCAAGAGCTCGCCCGCGCCTGCCCCGAGCGAGGCGCCGAGACCCGCCCCGCCGCGGAAGGAAGAAGCCCCGTCGATCACCGTCAGCAGCGGGACCCCTCCGAGGTCGAGTAGCGGCAGGAGTCCCGCGAGCGAGGGCGTGAGTGCAGCGCCCCGAGAAGAGAGCAGCGACGTGAGTGTAGTGTGTGCCGTCAGGGCGCCAGAGGAGCTCGCCCCGCGCTGCTTGCCCAAAGCCCTTCCTCTTGATGAGGTTCGGCTCCCTGTGCCGCCCGGTGCTTGCCGAAGCGAGAGTGCCGCCGCGAAGTCGCTGCCGCCCGATGTGGTCATAGTGCCGGCCGACCCGCCGCACGAGGAGCCCAAGTGCCAAAGAGAGCGAGCGAGCGAGGGCGCGCCCCGAGTGTGCATCGCCTCCGAGCCGCCGCCGGACGTGGCCAGGGACCACCCGCTCGGCCACCCGCTCGGCCACGCGCACCCCCGGACCACGGAGGGCCCCGCGGCACCCTCGCCCGCCCGAGAATGTAAGCGGCCCGTGTGCTCGAGTGCCAGCGCCTGCACCAGGAGTGGCGTCAGCAGCGTCAGCAGCGTCGGCTTCTGCCCCGGCGACAATCGAGTGAGCGAGGCGGCAGTCAGTGCCCGCAGTAGTGCCAGTGTTGCGAGTGTAGACCAAGGACGTTTCGTGAGTGCCGCGGTCAGCCAGCATGACACAGGTGTTAAGAATGGCGTTGTGGGCCACAGTGCCAGCAGTGTTGTGGTGAGCAGTGTCACTGCTCCCCTTTGTGACGGTGTGACTACGGTGTCATCAGTGACAAGTGTTTCGATAGTGGCTGGCACTCCAAGTGCCATTGTTAGTGCCGTTGCGTGGTCGTCAGAAAGCAACAAGGTGAACACTACTAGCAGCAATAGCGGCAGTAGTAGTGCGTGTAGTAGCGGTGGCAGCGGTAGCAGCCGTGGGTGTGGTGAGGTGGCGGGCGTGGTGAGCGGGCGGGCAGTGACGATCACCGCCACCAGCGGGCCGGGCCCCACGTGCGCCTCCCGCGTGGCCTCCCCGCCCTGCGTGAGCATCACGGCCGTGGTGCGGAGTCCTGCCGCCCTCCAGCCCGCCAACCCTGACCCGCTCCACTCGGCCCCGCTTCACCATGACGGGGCCTCCCACGCTCCCCTCCATCACCACCATCTCCTCCACCATCCTCAGCATCACCACCATCAACTCCCCCCTCAGCAGCAGCAGCCCCAGCCCCAGCAGCAGCAACCCCCGCAGCAGCAAGCCCAGCAGGTCCCCAGTAGCAGCGCGCCAGCAGCCACCAGCTCCAGGATGGACCACTGCGACGGCTCCAGTGACTCGGGTGTGAGTGTGACCGAGCGCTCCGTGTCTCGCTCCTCGGTACTCAGTGATGACCGGTCGTCCTCGGCCGAAGTGAAGCCCAACACCCCAACGCCCACCTCTGCCACTGTCCCCAACAAGACGTCCCAGGCGTCGTCGTCTTCGTCGTCGTCCTCGTCGACCGCTGCTGCGCCCCTCGTGCTCGACCGTAAGGAACCCATCCGCGTGTGGCGCGACCCGTCTCTCGTGTCGCAGTCGGAGCACACGGTGCGTCACATCCACTCCGTGCAGCACACCGCCATGTCCCAGCATTACCCTGGGGTGCCGCCCCAGCACCATGCGCCCCCGCCCTCAGGAGGCTCAGCGGCCCCGCACGCCCCTCCACACCATAGCTCTCATGGACAACCCCCTGTGTCCCTGGCGCACAGCCTGCCTCCGGGCCTGCCCTATCCTGCACACCCTACTGCAGCCACAGCAAGTTTACCTCAGCCCCTGCACTTACCGCCCGGCCTCCAGGCAGCGGCAGCCGGCCTCTACCCCCTCTCGCACGACATGTGGAAGCAGCTAGGCCCAGTGCCCACCATCCCCCACGCCTACGCCGGCCTCCTCAACCACCACCAGGAGGAGTTCCTGCAGCGGGAACGAGCGCGGGAGCTGGAGCGAGCCGAGAGAGCCGAGAGAATCATGAGGTAAGTCGATCCTTCTCTTACTCACCTTGGCCGTTACGGCGATACTCCAGCGTGCCCCGGGTGACGGCGGGAGCCACCTGATATGTTGTGCTGTGGCCACGCACCTGCCAGACCACGGGGAGGAGGGAGGGAGGGAGGGAGGGCGGCGCGGGGTGACGGACAGGTGTATTGTGTCATGAACACGGACTCCATGCTGAGTCAAAGCACAAGCAGTATTGTCGCTTCAGGTCTTCGTCAGATAGGTCAGGTAAGTCCGATGCCGTATGGCCACGTGTTTCTGGCAAAGGCAAGGTCGCCCCTACACAAGAGTTCACGGAGCGGGAGAAGGAGCAGGGAGGAGAAGGAAGGGAGGGAAGGGGTTACTAACCTTTTTTTGTACGGGATCGGAACGGTCGGGCATGGGTAGGTGGGGGGGGGGGGGGGGCCGTAGGTGAAAGGTTAGACTAACGCAAGGTTACACAGTCAGCGAGCCGCGCCCTCTGGAGAAGAAATTGGCTGCACACGTCGTTAACAATCGCGAAAGTTTTTTGAATGGCTCGGTCACACTTCGGGGAAGCTGAGGGGGGGGGGGGGGGGAGGCCGCGGGATGGCTGGGCGCAGGACAGGCTTTCCGAGAACGCCTTCTGGAAGCCTCCTCTGCAGGTGCATTGAGTACGCGGATGAGATTGTAATTGTAGCAAAAACCTGAGAGAGAGAGAGAGAGAGAGAGAGAGAGAGAGAGAAGAGAGAGAGAGAGAGAGAGAGAGAGAGAGAGAGAGAGAGAGAGAGAGAGAGAGAGAGAAAGAGAAAGAGAAAGAAAGAGAGAGACACAGAGACCGACCGACCAAGGTGAGGAATGAAGAGTCTATTGATAGGTAAGCTCTTCTAAACTGAGAGATTCCGCGGCAAGGAAACGAGGCAAGAACAAATGGCTGTTTTGGAGCCAAGCCAATTGTTATTATTCAAGTGCAGACTCTCCCTCTTGTGGTTGTCGCGGGCATCCCCCTCTCTCTCTCTCTCTCTCTCTCTCTCTCTCTCTCTCTCTCTCTCTTCTCTCTCTCTCTCTCTCTCTCTCTCTCTCTCTCTCTCTCTCTCTCTCTCTCTCTCTTTCACTCACTCACTCACTCTCCCTTCTTGTCTGCTCTTTGTCCCTCTCATTTTGGACCCTCAGAGAAATGTTCGTTACCCGCGAGAGGTGTGAAGGCCATGTCCCCCAAGGTGATACCAACTCGTACCCACATCTTACCGGATACAGAATTCTGACGCGCTGGGCAAGCTCTCGTCATCAGCCGACGTATGGCCAGGAGTAGTGCACCTTTCCCCTCATGGCGCTTATATTCCTCAACGCTTGTTTATAATGTTTTTCCTTCCCTCTTTTCTCCCTTCTTCACTCTTTCATCTCTTTATCCTCCTTTCCTCCCACCCCCCATCTCCCTTTTTCAATTTCCTTTTAACCTTCCTTCTTCCTTTCTTTATTCTCCCTCTTCACCCTCTCTCCTCTTCCCTCTTCCCTCTTCGCTCCTCTTTGCCTCTCCCCTAACCCCTCTTTCGGACGGATTCGGCCAACAGCTTCTTGGGGAGTCCGTGGCTCCTCCTGGAACCCGTGAATCAACCCGTCCTGTGAACCAACTCGTGCTGCTTTCATGGAGATTGCAAGTCGCGCTGGTCACCCTCCCAGGAACCGCTTTTGCTCTGCTTGTTTGTTTGGTTGCTTGGAGGGGGGGAGGGAGGGGGAGGGGAAGGAGGAAGAGGAAGGGTTTGGAATGAAGAGAATGCGTGCAAGGGAGAGAGCGAGAGAGAGAAAGAAATCAAAAAGATCGAAAGGCTGAATTCAGGGGGTTTAGTTTTTGTGAATGAGTTTGAAGATGGAAATTGAATGGGAGAGGGGAGTTTAGAGAGGGAGAGAGAAGGAAAGGAGGGAGAGGGAAGAGAGGGAAGGAGGAAAGAGGGAAAATAGGGGAGGGAGGGAGAGGGAAAAGGAAAGAAAATAGGGTGAGAGAGGGAGAAAGAAGGGAGAGAGAGAGAGGAATTAAAGGAGGGAGAAGGAGGGGGAGAAAGGGAGGAAAGAAGGGAAAGAGAAAGATAGGAGGGAGAGAGAGGAAGGAGATGAGAAAGAGAGGTTAAAGGAGGAAAAATGAGAGAGGGAGAGGGAAAGGGAGGATGTGGGGGGAGGAGGGGGAACCAAAGGGAGGGAGGTAGGGAGGGACTCGGTGTGCCTTGACTGAATAAGAAATGAGAGGCTGAGAGATAGATACATCCTGATGAAGCCGCTCACAGATTCCGGAAAGTGGTCAAGGAAACACGAGGAAAGACTGTGATTTCTTTAGCGCGTCTTCGTCATCGTTTTCGTCCACTTTATCACATTATTTGTCCACTTTTCAACATTATTTGTCTCGTTTTTCCTCCTCGATTTGGCAGTGCGACCATCCAGGACTAGCTCCCCAGGTCAGAGTCCTCCCCTCCCCCTACTCCCCACTCCCTGTGTCCTGGGACGCATCATGCTACTCCCCACTACCCGGGT